CAACTATATGCAGTTTTGGCTATCACTGCTAATGTAATTATTTGACTTAACTAGTGAAAATTGAGTTTCGGCTAACAATGCTCCTCAAACCTAAACCATTATGAACATAATAATTTTTAACTAAAGTGAGAGATTGACAAGGCAGAGCTTTGAAATAGTTTGGATTACTTCAATTCTCAAGAAAATAATGTCATGCATAGAATAACAAAAGATAATTCAAAACAAGAATAAAAAATTGCAACTCTGACAAGCACCACTGCACAATAAAAAAACAAATCTATAATGGATATACCATAACAATCACCAAGTAGATAAACTAAATTTTATTCACTCAAAATGTCATAGTAGCTAAGAAGAGTTATACCATGCAAAAAATCAGTCCAATATGCGTTATAAAAAGAAAGTGTTTTTAACATGCCACATTCTAAAAATATGGAAAGCACCTTCAAAAATCATTACAGAACACAGACTAAAGTGATAGTGCAACTTTCCTACCACCACAGAAATAAGTTAAATAAAGACTCAAATAGAAAAAAGCAGAAAAAGAAGCAAAATCCCTTTAAAAAAATGTTGTAGGAAAAGTAGATTTTATTGAAGAATATCGGAGGTATTATAAACATTTTTTGCATTGGAGAACATTTAACAGAAGCTTTCTTCAAGGTATCAAAACCTAGAAAAGCTTTGGATACAGAAAGTTGGTTCCCACCATAAATTTCTGAAAACCAGCAAACAAAGCTACAACCAAATTGGCATGTGGCTCATTGAAATAAAAGTAGTGTCGTAAAAGATTTTTAAGATGTATCAATGAACGATAAAAGTTGTATTTTTTGTTTACAGTATATTTAGACTCGCATTCACCAAAAGAGCTAATCCAGTCCAAACACAAAAAAGACTTTTGCCTAACTCAGTATTTATTTAAAATCCATATAAATATTACTTTAGAAGAAAAAAAAGGAATGATACCATGAGAAGGGAAAAAGACTGAAAACTATCCGCAAGCATTGACACTGAAAATAATCACCAGCCAAAATAGATGCTGCAAGAAGAAACTCATGAAATATCACAATAAGAAACCATTTAATTCAAGAACAAACATTCACACACGGATGCTACTTGATAAAATCAATTAACTTATGGATAATATTCAAAGCACGATATAATGCTTGGTATTATATATCATTATTTTTATATAAAGGGTACATGAAAATAACATCATACAGCAAGATGAAGAAGAAGTCTTTATCCAATTAAGTGTAATCGTCTAGATGGATTCTTTTTCTCCATTATATCCTATTGAGTGTCACATTGTCATTTAAATCTAATAGATTAAGAACATTGTTATACAATATGTCCAAGTCTTTTTAGGTCTACATTTGTCTTTCTTAAAGTAAGTTGAATCTAAAACATCTACGCTCCTAACCGGATCATCAAATGATCGACATTTAATATGATCAAACCATCTAAGACGACTCTCTCTAATCTTGTCTACCATTAGAGCTACATCAATTCTTTCATAGATAGATTTGTTTTGCATTTTGTCTCTACGTGTCAAGCAACTCATCCACCTAAGCATTCTCATTTCAGCAACACTTAACTTTGTTTTGCGCTTTTGCTCCAAATATCAAGTCACTCATCCACCTAAAGAATCATCTCAGCAACACGTAACCTTATTATATGCGTCTCTTTTAAAGCCAGCATTCTGCGCCATAAAGCATTGCATGTCTCACCATTATCATATAAAATTTTCTTTTTAAGTCTAAGTGGCATTTTTCTATCAAACAATAAGCAACAATAAGCCCGATGCATTGATGCATTCCTCCACTTCAACCAGCCAACTTAAATTCTACTAATAACATCCCCATCTATATCATCATCACTTTGAACATCAGACTCGAGATATCTATCTACAACTTTCACAACTTTTAATGATTTGATCACCTATAGTTACAAATATGAAACTAGAGTTATAGTTACAAATATGAACTATAGTTACAAATACGAAACTAGAGCTATCTACAGCGTTCACACCTTTTAATGATTTGATCAATTATAGTCACAAATACGAAACTAGAGCTACTACTACTAAAATTACATTCCATGTATTTAGTTTTAGATCTACTCAAATGAAGGCCTTTAGCCTCCAAGTAGACCTCCATAATTCAAGTTTTTCCTGAACATTTTCTGTATTCTTATCCACAAGAGAGATATCATAAGCGAAAAACATACATCAAGGTACATCCTCCAGTAAATGCCCAAAAAAAAACATTCATAACTAAAAAGATATATATATATATATATATATATATATGGGCTTAAAGTCAATCCTTGATGTAATTCAACTGAAATAGGAAAATACTTGGTCAATCCTCCCACAATCCCTCTGTTCAAACACAAATAACAACTCTAGTATACATATCTTTAATGACTTAAATATAAGTCATATCAAAATTTTTATTTTCCTCTCCATAAAACTTCTCTCGAAACAGTATCGCAAGCTTTTTTAAATCAATAAAAAATCATATGCAAATTCTCCTTACACTTTTTCTACTCTTTTATCAAATCTCTCAATAAATATATAGCTTCCATGGTAGACTTGTCCGACATAAATCCAAACTGATTACGAGAAATATTTGTATCATGTCCTAACCTATGTTCAATTACTATCTCCCACAATTTTACAGCACGACACATTAACTTAATTCCTCTATAATTTGCACACAATTGTGCATCCCCTTCATTCTTAAAAATGGGACCAAAATACTCTTTCCTCCCTCCTTAAGCATCATTTTTTTTAATTTTTAAAATAATATTAACGAGTTTATTAAACCAATAAACTATGAAATCTCCTAATAATTTCCACACTTCAATTGGGATTTAATCAGGGCTTGCTGATTTTACACCATTAATTTTCTTTAAAGTCTCCTTAACTTATTTTTACTAATGAAATAGCAAAAAAAAATATTATTAATGATATTAAGATTACTACAATTTATCGTATTTTCATAAACTTAATTAAAAATTTTATTAAAATAACTCATTCACCTAATAACATCCAAGAAAAGCACTTTGTTTATTTTCATCTTTACTTTTTTTTATCTTAGTTTGGCTCTTTTATACAAATATTTTTCACTCTTTAGTATCTAATTATTATAAATAAATTAAAAACATAATTCATAGCATCACAAACTATTCTCTTAAACCTCCTACGGGCTACCTGATAGATTTCTTAGTTCTTGAATATTTTACATTTAAATAAATATTTATAATAACTTCAATTTTATCTTTTATTGCACATTATTATTTCACCACCAACTCTTATTATTTATAAAAACTTTTCTTTTTGATTCTCCAAGTACATCTTTTAATGCCCATTAGTTTATCTCACTTATTTTGTGCTAATAATGCTTATCATTTTATCTTAGATAGAATTAGCTCTTTCAAGAGCATCCCAAATATTGAAATCTCAAAGTTTACTCATAAAAATAATTTTATGTGACTTTTAGGTACCCCTATCTAATTTTACGACAATGTTTCACTGTATTATTTATCTTAGAACTTCTTATCTTAAGACTCATAATGAAAATGATACATTATTATTGATAAGGCATGGTTCAAAGAAATCTGATAGAACAAAAGATGACCTAAAAAGTTTACCATTATTTCAGAACAGGATATAAAAACCAACCAAAAAAGAAATTCAAACATTGTTATATGAAGGAACTTTTCATGAGGTCAAAAAATGAATTTCAAGAAATGACTAATGAAAGATCAATACAAAAGAGTAAACATCATGAGTACATATATAAAGTACCTTTCGTCAATATATAAATAAAAAGAAAACCAATTAGTATGCATCTAGCATTAATAAATTTTACGACTTACAAACGAACTATTTAATTCTTATCAGCTACAGCAAGCCCATATGAAAAAAATACAGCAAGTAAATATCATGATAAAATATATTATCAACTAAACATTCTTCCATGATAGAATTGTCGTGTTCAAAGAAGAATTACAAAAAAGTTTATTATTTTAAATATAAAAGAGCATGCAAAACCTGTAAGCTAGTAATATATAGCATTGTTCTAACAAAATTATACTGTGTTATTAAGAGGTTCTTAATTTGATGATAAAACTGAGTATAAATTTTAACATGTTCATCTTTTATGAAATTAATAAACATATACGCGCGTAGCAAAAATGACTTGTGGATGCCAGGTGATAAATAGCTGATGACATTGACCTTCAAATAGAATATTGTACTTAAAACTAGTCACTCGTACACTTTTCATTTTTGAGAGAAACCTATAAAAAGAGGAAAAAAAAGGTGTTTTATCATTCCAAAAAATCTAGAAATTGCATACATATTTGCATCAGAAACTCGAACTTCATCATCCATATGATATCCAGAAGGGGAATCCGAGTAGTTCATCATGTGCCTGATAATAATATAAAAAATGCATACCAAGACAGTTAAGTCAAAGCTCAAGAACCATATCATGCTCAATGTGCATAACCCGTTATGTGTAATAAGAAGAAAAACAGAAGCAAATCTGCAAAAAAACCTCATTTTTGTGAAATTGTGATTAAAAAAAATCATATCAGAAACCAACAGTTCAGTGCTGCAGTTAACCTTTATGAAAAACAGATAAAATACAAAATTATATTAATGTAACAAATTCTCAAGCACTTTTTTTTTTTTTTTGCTGAAAAGAAAATTAGACATCATCCTAGGAAAAATTGAGTGTTTGCGTGCAAAATTATCAAAACGTGTTCCACGCAGATTTACATGAAAATGAAACTAGGGATGAAAATAGCTAAAGCAGGTATTAACAAAATGATTTATCAATATACAATAAAGAGTTTAATCAGCAATAAAGTTAATAAAAAAAACTAAACAATAATATTTAAGTAACAAATAATATCTAAATAAACCGAACTGAGAATGAAAAAAAGATGCCATGTTTTCTGATATTCATATGTAAAGGAAAAACATATACCTGATCCGGCTGAGCAACATCAGAAAAAATAACATCCACCATTCCAACTAACATCCGATATCTAGTAGGATGTCTGGCATCTTCAATTATTGGTATAACATTCGTGCGTTTTTTCGCCATATTTACGAGGTCCCTACCACTTCTATTCGAGAATTCAACAGCATAGACCACACCAGTCTGCCAAGTTCCAAACGCGTTTAAATGAGACAATAATGAGCTGAAAGAAAGCCTAATTTGTTACAAAGGAAGAGACTTACCGGTCCAACAATATCAGAAACATGTGATACTGTAGTCCCTGATGCAGCTCCAAGGTAGAGAACCCGAGAGCCAGGAGCCTAGAAGAGAATAAAAACTTAGAATAAATGTAAGCATGGATGAAGTTCGTGAGTGGTGTAAAATTGATAGAAAAGCGATAAGATGGAGAAGATAAGATATTTTTTATATTCAAAAACTTAAATAAAACTGTCAAGGCCTTCATAAAAAAAGGAAGACTTACATACATACCACTCAATTCTTATACAGTTACATATCTAACACCTAAACTTTAACTTTTAGGTACATCTCACCTTACTTGTGCATGAAAAACTGTATTATGACTTTTTAAAAGTTAAAATAATGGTATTTCTATGTGATATAATAGATTTGAGCACCCGAAACCTCATCTCCCCAAAAATAAAATGTAATATTTGAACCAAACAAAACTGAGCATTTAAATACAGCATACATTGCAAATATAAATAATTGAGTTATATAAATGCCTTTCCAGGCCTACTTAAATAGAAAGTTTGGTTTGTGTAAATAGGATGATCAAAATTAAAAATAACAAAAAGAACTTTCATTCAAAGAAAACTGACTGGCTATATAGTTCAAGGGGCATTGGAGGTAAAATTTAAAAAAAAAAAAACGCCCTTCCTAACTAAACTTTAGAAGCGATACCACATAAATGAGAGCAACAAACAAGGCGACTCGAGCAAGTTTAGAAATGATGATATAGTGTGGCATCAAAAGTAGACTGTTAAAAGAGCAATTTATACACTTTTGTTTCCTATGTCAATTTAAATCAATCAAAAGCAGTCAATACAGGTGTTTAGGCTATATCTTGAGTAATGAAAAAGAAATTCAGGGTGGATTTATAAATAAGAATACAGTTCGAAACATCACCCTATCTCAAATAATTTCTAATCTAACCCAATCTTGCTCGACACTTTTCAATGTTTTGTACTTTTGTATCGCCTGCAACAGCAACCGACTTCTTTTAGGCAGAATAGAATATTATGTTTATTTAAAATAACTGTATAAATGATGAAAAATAATGTCATGTTCCAAATGATTCAAAGTAGGCTACTGTAATATGAGAGTAGAGTAAGTCAATCGACCATTTCATTAAAAAAAACAACCATGACAATGCTTTATTGGAGGAAGACTGCATTCCTTTAGCATAAAAAGTTCCGTATAAATTGTGTTCAAATTGAATTAATTTATGGGTATGAAAAACAGTTTTTTTTTATTTTACGAACAGATTTTCATGTCAATTTTTCTCTTTAGTTAAGAAAATAATGTATTTATTTTTTGCTCTTGGTCGCACTGTTTCATTGATTCTTAATGTTGGTATTATTTTCAGATGAATTGTAAATTAAGAAAAACAAGAGCCCGGCCAAAAAATAATTTTTTTATTTAATATTCATAGCTCTAAAACTTGAAAAAATATGTTCACTCACTTTTATAACTTTTTCAATGGAATTTACATAATTTTCTATCTGTGCTTCTAATAATTCAATCACCACAATCTTTTTAACATTAAAATATTATGATTTTCAGCACCTACCATCATACAACTGATTACAACCAAATTCTATTTAACTTGACTTGCAGTAACGTGAATTCAAATTTGGAAATCAGTTAAATATAAAAGACAAAATATATCATTAAATTTCTTATAAATAATTCAGATGCAACTCTAACTGGGTAATTTTGTCATTGAAAATTTATCACTTGGGGAGCTACCTGATACAATTTATAAAAAACTATTGCTCCTCTAAATTCCTCACATATTATAGCATCTCTGTGATTTTATTTTATTTTATTACAAACTTGAAATGATGGAGAACGATTTATAAAACCAAGCGTGGATGATAGAATTGAAATTTGAGATTGACTGGGTCAAAAAAATTTCCTTTAGATTGATTAAAATGAACATGAGAAACTAAAAGTAAAAAAAATTGTAGCTGATAGGAATCACTAGCATAATGGGCAACTTTAAAAGCTGTACTGTAAAAGAATACCCACAAAAATCATCCATTTAGCAGAATGAATTTGCCATTTTTCTTAATTTTTAATTAGAGAGGCTCCCTTCCAAATTCAATTAAGAAGAGTCTATAGCTATTTTAAAAAAAATTCTCTTTTTTTGCTCCAAAGTTACGCTCACAGATAGACAAAACAAAAATAAGACAATGATTGTTATAACTAAGTTAAATTGAATATTAACTTTAATTTTAAATTTATTGCTAATTGTGAAAGCAGATGCACACAGAACTTTCCATATCAAAAACATTTTACCAAATAGAGATAACTTAGTAAACAAAAAATAAATTGCTTGATAATGTTAATGCAAAGAAGAAAGAAGCTGTTTGAATAAGAAAAATCTTTTTTTTATCAACATCCGAAGTGAAGATATGTGCATCGATTAACTTGAATAATATGGAAGCAAACTCACGATCCAAATATTATCAACACCACCAAGAATCGCTGCTGCAAGTTTCGACCTAAATGGATTCCACACCCTGTACTCCATCTTAGTTCCGTCCTCAGTCTGAAATAAGAAAACAATAAACATATAAAACTCAACAGAAAAAAAATAATAATAATACAACCATCCAGAACTAGAGCCGTCATAAGCGAATCTTCGCACAACGAGGAAACCACTAAAATATGCAAATATCACCGAGCAAAGTTCATCTAGATCTTAGCCGATCACCTGAACAGAAACACGTTTCTCCCCATAGACGGATTCACCGGGAACCATGTTCTTAGTACAGAGGGCGTCTTCCTTTCCCTTCGCTACGAAAACACCATCATGTCGATGAGGCATCACTACGACCTTGCTTCCGCCTTTCATCCCCCCACGGCCACCTCTCCCCCTCGTACCACCTCGGCCAGCTCCTCGGCCGCCGCCAAATCCACGGCCTCTCCCGCCGCCTCTTCCTTCGCCTCTACCTCCTCCGCCTCTACCTCCACCACCTCTTCCTCGGCCCCTACCGCCGCCTCCATCACTCCGGCCCCTGAACCCACCGCCTGAAGTTCTTGGAGGTCTCATGGTTGCACCTCGAAAAAAAAAGTTCAAGGGGAGAACTTAGGCTCTTTTAGGGGCAGCTCGGTAGCCGTCAAGCAAGATTTAGGCTAAATCCTGCCAAACAGAAAAATAAATCTCCATAAATCCTGAGATTTGGTAAATCCTAAAAATGACGCCGATTCGCCGTAAATCTGGGATTTCGTGAATCCCTTGAAACGTCGGATTTAGTAAATCTGGGACGAGCGAAGAGAAAGAATGGGGCGAACAGGCTTACCTTCCTCAATGGTTTCTGGTAGCGGTGGAGCGTAAGGATGAGAAAGATGGAAGTTTCGGTGGTCTACGTAATCCGCGATCCCGTCGTTGAGGAAGGCGATGGTTTTGAGCGAAACCGGGAGGGGGAGGGGGAGCGAGAAAAGCGAGGGTTTAGGCGGGGATGTGAAGTTTGAGCGAGAAAGGGTGAGGCTAGGGTTTTGGGCGGAGAGGGGAAGTGGTGTATAAATACTTTATTAATTTAATTGTTTACTAATTAATAGTTAATTTATATATAATTAAATAAATTTAAATGTAATGATTTAATAGTTAAGTAATGAATAAACATATTTTAGAAATTTTTAACTTACTTAATAAATTTTAAAATAATTATTAATGTATATCATTGGTTAATAATTTGTTATTGTTAAATTTAGAGTGACTTTTTAAATTTTTCTTACAAATTATATGGTAGAATTGTCATTCTCATTGTGTAGTAGTATTTTGGGGGGAGAATGTTGAGTATTATTTCTTTTCTTTACTTTTTATGATCTTTTTACAAGTAAAATTGAATATGATGTGTTGCACAATTAAAGTTTATATGTAAAATTAGTTAGCATAATCATTACGTGTTCTGATCAATCAATAGAAAATAAAAAGATGAAATATATATGAAAATGCTCATCTGTTTGTCTCAAATTTTTTTTGTTGGTTTATTTTGTTTAGATAGATATGTGAGTACTTGTTTTCAGTTTTCTAACAAAATATGTCACTCGAATTACTTGCTCTTGCCATCTGATTAGTGTGGAGTAATGTCTCGCGAGAGAGAATATTGAGCATTACTTCCTTTTTTTAGTTTATCTCAAACTTTTGTAAATAGAATTGCATATAATTTGCTGCACATTTGAAATTTTGCATGATAGATGAGTTAGCAACATTCTTACGTGTCCTCATCAGTTACCAGAAGTAATGAGATGAAATATATATGAGCAATACTTATCTGTTTGTTTCAGATTTCTTCATTGGTTTATTTTGTTTGGATAGTTACATGAGCATTGGTTTTCAGTTTTTCTGATAAATTATGATGTCTGAATTGCTTAGAATGTTGAGCATTGTTTCTTTTCTTAAGTTTATCTGAGACTATAATAAATATAATTGCAAATAATTTGCTTCACCTTTAAAAGTTTACATGATAGATAAGTTAGCAGCATTATTGTCTGTCTTAACCAATCAGGAGAAACAATGAGGTGAGAAATATACGAGCAATGCTCATCTATTTTTCTTAGATATCTTTGTTGGTTTATTTTGTTTGGATAGTTAAGTGAGAATTTGTTTTCAGTTTTTATGAATAATTTGGTCGAATTGCTCAGAATTTTGAGCACTATTATTTTTTCTAAAACAGAAACTTTTATAAATAGAATTATATATGTTTTGTTGTACATTTGAAGTATACATGATGGTTAAGTTAGCAGCATCCTCATTAGTTCTGATGAATCAGCATAAGTAGTGAGATGAATTATATATGAGTAATGCTCATATGTTTGTTTCAGATTTCTTTATTGGTTTATTTTATTTTGGTAGTTGTATGAGTAATAGTTTTGAACTTTTTCTGACAAATTATGCTAATCGAATTGATTGCTCTAACATCCTCATTGTGAAGTAATATTCTTTGGGGACAATCTAGAGTACTGTTTCTTTTTTTTTAGTTTTCTTTTTCAAAAATATTTATAAATAGAATTACATATGTTTTGCTGCACATTTGAAGCTTGCATGATAGATAAGTAAGCAGCATCCCGACATGTTCTGGTCAGTTAGTAGTGGTAATGAGAGAAAATATATATATGAGCAATACTCATTTGTTTATTTCAAATTTATTTGTTGTGTTATTTTATTCAAATAGATATGTGAATTGTGGTTTTAAGTTTTTCTGACAAATTATGCTAGTCGAATTGTCTGCTCTTGCCACTTCCTCGGTGTAGAGTATATGCATTCAATGAGGGGTGGGAGGGGTGGGGGGGAATGTTGAACATTGCTTCATATTTTTTAACCGTTTTTTTTTTCTATTGAGACTTTCAAGAATAGAATTGCATATGCTCAGCTGTACATTTGAAGTTTTCATAATCAAACAGTAGAAATTATGGAATGCAGTACATTTCAACATTTTTTGTCTGTTTCTTTCATAATTTTGTGTGTACTTGTCATGCATATGCATTCAATGAGGATATATTCCGGATAAGAAATCAAATGGGGGATGACATTCAAATGTTAGTTAGAGCGATGATGGCAAATAACTATTGAAGGGATCAACAGATCATCACTTGTCAATTTTAAGGTTGTTTTACCACATATACTACCTGTCACGAAAGAACACGTTCGAGTGCTTATTTGATTTAGGAAAATGGTGATTATGGATGGAGTCTTCTTTGGTTAAGTGATATCACTAAGCTCTAATTGTTACCTTGATGATCCAAATTGGCTAGCACAATAAAAAACATAAATTGGTTATGACATCTTATCTGGCATGTATTTTGAGGGTTTGCATTAGTGCTTGGATATGCATAACAAAAACACCAAAAAAATTGAAATGAACAGATGGAAAATGCTCATATATATTTCATGTCATTGCTTATACTGACTGATCAGAACATGTAAGGATGTTGCTAGCTTATTTACCATGCAATATTCAAAAGTGCAGCAAAGCATATGCAAACTATTTATAAAAGTCTTAGCAGAAAAAAAACTACAAAAAAGAGAGACAGTGCTCAACATACTCCCCAAAAAATATTACTCCACAATGAGGATGCAAGAGAAAACAATTTGACCAGCATAATTTTTTATAAAAAATTGAAAACCAGTGCTTACATGTATCTTCATTCAAAATAAAACAATAAAGAAATCTGAAACAAATAGATGATCATTGCTTGGTTTGTTTGAATGATTTATATAACTTCATATTTTTTTTCGACCTTTTGGTTGTCTGGTTTTTGTTTGTGACGAGGCTTTCATAATACGATTTGATAGACACATTTCACACTTCTTATGAAATGTTTAGTAGAACAATGTGAAAAAAAACATGACCCTCAACTGATTACGAAATGTGAAAGTGGAAAAAAAATGACCATGCCAATTTGACTTGAATATTGCCTGGTCTTTATGCTTACATAACACAATTGGTGATCATGTATAGAACTATCTTTGAGATCTATGAACTGATTATGAGCCGTGCTTCTACTTTTTATTTGACATATTATTGTTTAGATTCATGTATTGTTGTTTTGCATGTCAATTTTTGTTGATATATTTCTTTTTTTTTTACTTAGATATCATATGGGCAAACAAAAAAAAAATGTTAGATATCCGCTATTTGGGATATGAAGACAAAGATAATTTAAAAGAGGTAGAAAAGATCAATGAATCAACAACACATTTTAATAAGAAAATATGACAAAATATAATCAAACTCCTTCAAGAAAGAATTGATAGATTGTACGACAAAACTCGGTTGAAAAATAAATGGGACCAACTTAAAAATTATTGAAAGTTATGTAAGGAGCTCAAGAGAGGGGCCACTGGTTTAGGATGGGACCCCATAACAATTAATGCATCTGATAAGTGGTGATAAGAGAACAATTTAATAAGTAAAACATCTTACATTCAATAGTTCTTAATTTAAAATTCTACATCTTAGAAGACCAATTTATCAATTGTAGGTTTTACCGAATGCAAAGAAATTTAAACTTCTTGGCATTGACTCGGAGCTGGCGGAGCAGCTAAATGCTATGTTTCTTGGTGTTGTAGCAAAATGGGTCAATGTATGAGCCAAAACAAAAAAGTCCACCAACATGTTCATTCGAACAAGGTCTACGAGGAATAACAGAAAGTAATGGAGCAAGGGGAGTACATTCACTCCAAGCGACCTGCACTCTTGGCGCAAAAAAAGAAAAAAAAAACTAAAGTTGGGCAGCTCATCTATCACTGCAGATATCACAGCTGGTAACAAACTGCACCAACATTATTTCAAGTGCCTTCACTGCTCTCCAAGCATACCCAATAATGATAGATGTTGGCAATAAATTTTCACGGACATGCTTCTATATTTATTTACTGTAAAACTTCTGGAGGATCGAAACAAGGGAGATGCTTTCTTCACGATGCTCCTTGAACTGAGGATTCCTTACCTTCGTTATTTTTTAAAGAGTCCGACTAGTTATATGTCATGCACATGTTTTTTTTAGTTGTTGGTAATATGACAGAGTGGTTATTTGTAGTATTTGACATTTCTGTTGTAAATTATGGCTTGTGTGTACTATTTCAGACGTTTGATTATTTCTAGATTTCCATATTTTAAAAACTTTCATTGCGCACATTTTAAGCATTTACCTGCACTGAGAATATCATGTTCTTTTGACATAAACTTAACATTATTATTTCTGACAAATGGAGTCACCAAATTATGAGGAGATTATAGAGATAGTTGAGCAAGCAACATGTTTTCCCAATTCTTTTAAGATGTTCTTTTTTGTTTTCTGGTTGCAGGTGGTTTATACAGGGATTCTCTTCGTAGATGTTATGTTTAGAGATACTTCGATTCGATCATGTTTGGACGTATATTCTCAACTCATTACACAAGGATTACCCAAATATAAGTGTTCCACTTGTTTCATTTTATTTGTTTGTTTATTTGTTGTCGTATATCATTCTTTTTTTTTCCTCTTCTCTTCGAATAATTGATATGATTCAGGATGGCGACGTTCTTGAATAAGAGAGTTATATGACGACATATAAATAGACAAGTTGGCGAATTTGAGTGCTTTATTTTGGGGTCAAGAATAGTTATATGACGACATATAAATAGACAAGTTGGCGACTTTGAGTGCTTTATTTTGAGGGATGTAACCCCTTCCAGAGGAATGTAACCCTCTTGTTAAATGCATCTTGAGGGATACTCATGAATACTCTCAAAAATGAAGTTTCACTTATATTCTCACATCCCAAATGAGTAGCAGCTCATCAACATCAGAACCTATTAAATAACGAGAATCACCTTGACAGGGATATCCATATACGTTAAAGCTCATCAGCTCATCGGTAATCGGGTCATCAAGATGATATTAGTGAAGCAAAGAAGCGAAAAGGCTCAAAGGGGCTAAAAAAAGGAAGGCTAGAGTAATCCTAAACGGTAGAGGCAGTACAGTCAGGGTATCACGGACCCGTCGTACAAAGCTACTGAGACCCT